TGTAATAGTGGTATAATAGGATTACTATCCCATGTAATCACTATTACATGGTGTGTGGGTCCACCCGAGATCTAGGCTTCGGAGGCTAGACTTGAGGGTTCTGGCTTAGGGCGACAGGTTTAGGAAGCCTTTGCCTCAATACTGCCGCTGCACCCAAAAATCTCAAGTCCTCAAAACAGGAACCCGCACTGAAAGGACCGCGAACCTTCCAAAACTGCCACTCGCAGCCCTCTGTAATGATTGATTAAAGAAAAGGTTTTGCTAATTTCAACCTCAGCACTCAGGACCCCCTTACGAAGAAGAGTCCTAATTCTAATTGAGGTTACCACGAACCTTCTTATTTTGATAAACGCTGGTTCTTCAACAGTCCTTACAAAGTCTCCTGATCCAGGAAATGCGCCACAGGGAGGTTGCCAAGTTCATGAATGTAGTGAGGGTTCCAAGTAGTCAACAGTGAGGTTGTTATATGGTACTTTCCCAAAAATAAGGGGACCACAGTATAGACGACAAAAGGCTATAGCCCTTATTGTGGAGACCCCAAAAACATTTACCCCCAAGTTTCTGAAACCTTGAACCCCAAACCCTAAGTTCTGAAACCCTGAACCCTAAACCCTAAGTTTCTGAAACCCTAAACCCTAAACCCTAAGTTTCTGAAACTCACATATTCGGACAACTGTAATTAGTTGGCTCAAGCCTGGCAGGCGTGACCCCTTCCTGGTATGAAATAGTAGCTTCCATTTTCTCCAGCATCCCTAAATAATCCTATTAAACTATAGCAGTTTCAGTTTTCTTTTCTATTATCCCGATACATCCCCTATAACCCTTTGCCTTGTACGGCTTCTTTCGGGATGTCATGTGCTGCTTGAGGGTTCTTTCTTTGCCAGATGGCACGCGGGTGCTGCCAGCAACTGCCTCCTCATGGTGTAAGGTCTAGGTGTTTGTACTGCAGTTCTGCGAAACCATCAATCCAAAGACTGCTGGATATGGCAAGGGAATGTACCCCAAAAACGGAGGGGTTGTCCGTCTCGAGTTGTTGCAAACAGAACCAGCTGGCAGCATAGGTAGACCCCAATATAGACCCCAAAATACTATGGTCCTTATTACTGGGACCCCTAAAAAGGGTACCCCTAATTTTGGGAAACTCCTAAACCCTAAATCCTAAGCTCTAGACCCTAAACCCTCAATCCTTTATATCCCCTAATTTTGGGAAACCCCCAGCTTTAGTCTGTGATGTCTAGGGGAGTGATGCTTGCATCTGGGACCAAATGTTGGAACCGGCTCAGAGACTCTCTGGCACTTCCTTGCCTGAGAGGGTCAGCAAAATTATGGTCCCTTTTATATTGGGATAATAAAATCAAATGGAAGCTACTATACAGTATAATAGGGTATATATTAGGGTATATATTAGGGTTATATTAGGGGATAATGGAAAAGAAAATGGAAACTACTATAATGGGTTATATAGGGATTATAGGGTATATGGGTGGTTGTCAAAATTACGGTCCCTTTTGGGGTACCCTAAATGTTAGGTGCCGTATTATAGTAGGGATCCAAGAAGGGGCCATAATTTTGACAACCACCCATATAAGGGTTTAGGGTTTAGGGCAGTAAAAGAAAGACAACTGCAATAAGAATACTGAAGCTGCCTGATGCTGCTGTCCGTAATTTAGCATCCCAGTCGGAGGCATCCCAACTGCCTACCGGGCCTACCGCAGGCATGGGGCGGGTACTTAGCGAACATCTCAAAAAAAGGCACCTCACGCAGTGACAAGACCCCATCACCAAGAATTCCCAAAATCTCTTAATGACCACGACAGCACCATCAGAGAAACAAGCCAGACTCTAAAAACCCTCCTGCGCACCTCCCGCAGAAGGTCCACTGCAGTCTCCCGATGCCTTTGCGGCGGTGAGCTATACTCCAAGTAGAACCCATATGAAAGCAGCAGTGATGTCTTAACATGCCCGGAGAAGAAGCTAGAACTCTCAAGCACGGTACTGTGAAGCTTCTCTTTAAGTCTGTGATGTGGATCGAGGGAACCTGATGTTAAAGATGTGCGCTGCAAATCCTGAGCCCCCGTATGACCTTGATGGAGAGTTTCAGAGGCTCTGTGTTTCAGGCTGCCAGCTAATGGTTTAAGACTTCTGAAGTTGGGACTAACTCAAGGACCGACGACAACATATCCGGTTTCGGATGATATCTGGAATCATCAGCGAGATACTGCTTAAGAAACCGAAAATCCGCGGGGCCTAGCCTAAGTTATGTCTTTACATGTGCTAACATTGGGGTTCATGGCCTGTTCAATGATCTTCTGGTCGGGAGGGGCGAAGGGATGACTCTTAATACATCTTGCTTGGTCAACTTCTAGCCCTTACTTTCTTGCAGCACAGGCGCAACCCTCAACCCTACACATGCCTGTATGTATTCAGAGAACCCCCGCAACACACCCTTACAAACCTACTTGAAGGGGGCAATAGTTTTGAAAACCACGGCTTCTTTGGGTTTACTTGTCGGCTAGATAACCGAGTTATAAAGGGCTACAATGAATTTATAGTGGGCTTGCTAACTCCACAGTCCCCCAAAGTAAGGTGTAGGGTTTAGAACACAGCTGGAGGTCAGTACTTAGCAACTGAGAGCTTATCTCATTGACCCCCATTGACCTCTGGCTACTGCCTAACCTCGACCCTGTACTCCCCTTAACGTCCCCACGCATTTGTGACGTCCCCGCAAATGTGGTCCCACCAAGTCACAACTTCCCAGCCCGCAAAGAAACCTAAGCCCTCAATCCCTCGGCCCTAAACCTACACCGCGCGCAGCCTCAAGTATACACAAAGGAGGTCGTTGCAGCTTGACGTTTTGATCTTGACCCCTACAGCCCAGACCAAAAAGGAACAGTTGAAATTGGATGGCCAATTGCTCCCTCCTCGCAAACCCCTCCCCTAATATTGAAACCCCCGACGCCCTAAATTTGGGACATCTAACATTAGGAGGGGAGAGTGGTTTCAATAACTTGGTACTGGGGGTACGGGATTACTTCCTAGGGCTGCATGAGACCCATGTTCCCAACTGTTCGGGCTTCTACTGGCAGCCCTAACCTTACTGCTGGTTAGTGGGGAATACTTGGAGGGTCAGGGGGACATAGTAAGTAGGTTCATGATGGGGATAAGTAGGGTTACTACATGGGTTAAAGGGGGTATTAACGTACTTACTAAGTCCCCTGACTCTCCAAGTAACGGACTGTTATCGCTGTATAATCCCCATAATATAGTATACTCCTTTATTCCCCTAAACCCTAGACCCTAAACCCCCAGGAAGTGACCCCTAGCCCTGAAGCACGGCAAGGAAAATGAGGACGACCGGGGCAGCATCATTGTGGGCTCCAAAGAAACTGAGCTACTTGCTGCTTCTTATTAGGGACTAAGGAAATATTAGCCCCTGTTTATACTCCCTATATACCATCTTCCCCCAAAGCCTAAACCCTAAATCCTAAACCGAAGAACCGGTAAGTTTAGGGTTGAGGGACAGTTCACTTCTGGGGCGCTACGACTGCTTGTCCGGCCAATAGGCGGGTAGCCTCCTTCTGCGGTGGATTCTGCAGATCCCGGCTGCGGAGACAGAAGAAACTAAAAAGTCGCTTCCGTTGTCTTTTCCACTATCCCCATAACCCCTATATGACCCTAGATAAACCCTATATACACACAATATATAAATATCAAGAGGTCCAGCAAAAAAATTAGCATACGAATACATCAAAACGGCCATGAAACTGTCATGCAGACCCCGGGACTAACAAAGGTGTAGGGCCCCAGGGTTTTAGGTCTTCGGGGTATTTATGCTCAGGGCCCACGCCCCCAACCATCCACCCAAAAAAAAATGCATAGGGCTAAGCCGATGACCCTGACGCCTTGACTCTGAACGCAGACCTTAAACCACTCACTAGACAATTATACACCCCTACATGAGCCATAGTCTGAACTCCTAATACCCCCCGTAAGAACCCCCTATAGTAGCCCCTTAAATATATATATATATATACCCCTATATAACCCCTTTTGAGGAGTCTAGACGATAGCTCATATAATATCAACAGTGGATGTTTGGATTATGGATCGTGGAGAATCACAATGAAAAGAAAATGGAACATAAAATGAAAATTGGGCTTATATGAGCCA